AACAAAGTTAAGGGGTGCCTATTCAGTATCCTGATATTTAAACTGTAAAGTTAATAAACCATGTCAGAACCCCAAGTAGTTATCTTAATATATAAAAAAAAAAGAACTTTCGTGTTTTGCATTTCAATTTTTATAACTTTTATAAGCCAGTAATTACAATGTCAATTTTATTTATACCTTATTATATTGAGAATTATGAACTAGTCTTTGATTACTTAAATGAACCTGAAGATTATGAACTAGCGTCTACTTACTCAAATAGGCCTAAAGATTGTAAACCAATATTAGTCTATTCAGATAGACATGAAGAATATGAACCAACACCTACTTGCTAGAATAAACTCAAAGTTGGTGAAACAAAGTAAGCTAGTAACTGTAAAGTTGTACCTACTAGATAAAATGAAACTTTTCTAAAAAGAATTTTTTTAACTGTATTTAAAATATTTTGCTTATATTTGTTTGTATTACGAATTTTTTGTATAGTTATATTTTAAAAAAGAAAATAGTTTTGCAAAATGTAAATTCTGTAATACAAAGTTAGTATATCAAAATAGAATGATATCAAATCTTAGAAAGCGCTTTAAACAGCATAAGAAAAAAGTACCCGAGTTAAAAAAATTGGATATAAAAAAACAAGGCAGTGTTTCTGTTATTGATATGTTAAATAATAATAATGTAAGTTTTGAAAATATGCAATAGTTAGAGGAAATACAGATTACTTAAGATATAATTATATTTACTAGATCAATTATAATTCTTATGAACCTTTTAGTAAAGATGAATTAAATAATTTTATTAAGTGATAGATTATTAAATATAACTGATCATTTCAAATCACTGAAGATGTAGAACTTGAATTGATCTTTAAGTATTTAGAGCCCTGTATAGCAAGTATAATATTAAATTATAATGCAATATAGTGATAAAATATAAATATTTAAAGAATTTTTTTTTTATAGCACTTTCAGCCGATCTAATAAAAAAACATGTAAGGTATGATTTTAAAAAGAAATGTATAGAGCTTTGAGCAAAGTTACAAAAAATCTCTGATAGCATAGCAGTAACTACTGATATTTGGATGACTAATTCATTTGATAAGTTATTTATAGCAGTAACTATTCACTAATTGAATAACAAAACAATATAAATAGCAATGTATTTGAGGTCGTGATAAAGAAAATTGAACAAATCATATATATGTAACTTTATATTACTCTAAAATATTACTAATTATTTTTTGAAAGAAAAGTATTTTGACAAAACAATAATCATAAAGGTTATTTGTTAGCAAAAACACTGTTTTTGTATTAATACATTATTTGTATTGTTTTATTTTATTTGTATTTGATTAAAAAAAATTTTTTTTTATAATCTATATAGTTTTATTTATAGTAGATCTGGAATTGTCTAGAAAGAATGTTTGGTAAAAGATGTCTTAAAAGAATTAAACCTTATCAAAATATTCTTGAAGAAAATATATAGAATAATATTATGTTGAAATTAGTTTTAATTTTATCTTTTTGTAAAAAGACAATAGCACAACTATCATATTGCAATTAAATATTATCAGAAAATAGTATTTATAAATTTTATCAGGTAAAAAACTTGCATAAAAATATTTATGCTTTGGAATTATTATATAAAAAATAATTAGATGAATTTGACAACCAGTTTAATAATAAAGTTGTGCTGATTGCAATCAAATTTGCTTCTGAAATTTTGATTATTAATTGACAAGACAGTATTTGACAATTTATAATATATGTACAATTAGTGATAAGATCTCTGAATTTTAATTAATAATGAAAAAATTAGCTGCGCCATATATTATTATATATTAATTAGATCATAATTATAATTATATAATTATTAATAATTTAGAAGGTCTAATTACTACGTATTTACATATAATTCAATTTTGCTAATCGGTGTTCTTGCTTATTGGCCAATTAGAATTTTTTTATTTATTAGATCCCAAATCAAACTTGGGGTTCTGACATGGTTTATTAACTTTACAGTTTAAATATCAGGATACTGAATAGGCACCCCTTAACTTTGTT